TCAACCCCCTGGGCAATTGTGCTCACTCACCTGATGCTGATGTCAGTTCTTCAGTGGAAATTTGATCATGAGGAGCTTCCATGTGACCGGAATGTCCTATGGATGAGAGAAAGAGCAATACAGCATATTTCCTTAGTAGATCTCATAGCACTTTATAAAGGAAGCCGGTGTTTTTTTCAAACTGGGATTGATGTCTGGATCTCAGCGAGATCTACAATACAAGTCAGGTTTAACATTTTTGCTTCAGTCATTTTGAATTCAGCCAGTCAAAAATCAGGAGAATAAAATCGCAAAAATGGTTCAATTCTCCTCCAGCTTCTTCATTAAAATTCAAAATTGTTAGAATGTGACACATTTCCACCAGCCTTATAGAGACCAGTCTCTGATCTCTGTAGGTGCTTTCCCAATTTTAATAGTAATAACTTCAAAAAGAATTGTGGTTTTTTTTCTTGACATATTTTTTGCTAGTCCATGACTTTTAAAAAAAAAATTCCCACAATTTCTGGAGCTTCATGTTGCTTGCAAGGCTTTCCCCACCCTTTTTCTAAAGGGGCAGGAGAGAGAGGTGCCCTGTACCCACGAGGGGTTCCTGGTACTTGCTGGGGGCAGGTACTCATCATGTGGCAATTGAGGAAGCCTTCTGCACCCTGCCGTGGTAGGGTCGTGTCGGCTGTCTACACTCAGTTCCCTGCCTGTCCCCTCACCTGCCCCTGTGCACATGGGAAACAAACAGCTGAGCTGAAGGGCCAGGGTCATGGGGGGAGCAGACAGCTGCTGAACAGTTCTCTGCTCTCCCGGCCCTTGAGCGCAGCCTCGTTCGCTTGTCCTGTGCAGGCTCTTTCCAGCAGAGGACAGGGCTCTGTGCCCTGGAGCTGTGGTGAAGGGCCGGGGTCGAATGTGTAAGATATCGCTCCATGATCACATACTGAATGAGATCAGAAGGTATACAGAGGTGACCAATATAGTGCAGGCGATGTACGACGCAAAGCAGAGATGGGCAAGTCATGTAGTCCGTAGGCAAGACAATAGGTGGACAACCCGCATTAGTGACTGGATCCCCAGAGGCCACAAGTCACCGCTGGGCAGCCCAAAAACACGCTGGGCTGATCCCATGACAAAACTCTTTGGCCAGAAATGGAAAGAATCTGCTTGCAACAAAATGGTATGGCATCGACTTGCATTCGTGGAGGGACAGACGAGGACAAGCTGGACAAAGGTGACCCATTGATCACAAAGTCCAGCACATCTTGGTGGCAAGACAGACTGAAGTGTCTAAGGGGACTGTCTGTGACTCCGTTATAAGACTACTGTGGTACTTTGGGAGTTCACATTTGGTTCTGGATGGGTGAGATCTAATCATAGAACATACAACCAGTTTGGAGTGTCTGCTCTCCTTTTCACAGTCTGCCCTGAGGTAGGCACTCTTGGTCTTAAGCCACTCCAGACACCATGACACCCACGTGAAGGAAAACTTGCACTTCCTGCAGTAGAATGAAGTCAAGAGACTGGCCCCAAGAGGGACAGGGAAGGAAGGTAAGAAATGGGGAGAGAAAGAAACTGAAGGGTGTATTCCACTTCCACCGTTCTTAAGACCAGTGACCTCTGGTGATGTGGCACCAAGCACTTAGGAAGGGGGATAAATGATTGGCAAATAGAGGGGGAAGTAGAGGATGGTGCTCTGGGGACTGGTAATCTGTCCTCAACCAATGCTTGAAAACAATTGTTTAGAAGAGCCAAATCAGTCTAGGTAAATTGGCCTCTCCAGATGGGGAGGGAGGTGTCAGATATCTCTTGTAAATTCTACCCCTCTTTCTCAACAGGTCTTGGGAATGAGGAATAAAAAGTGGATATCAGTGAGATTCCTGCAAGCAAAACCATTTTCTTTTTGTCACAGCCATGTAGATATCGAGAGACTTAAGCGTTGCTCTCAAATCCTTAAGGCTATGGAGCCTATTGTCCATTTTCTCTGAAGAGAACAAAGGACCCTCAAAAGGGAGCTCTGGAATAGTTTGCTGTACGGCTGGATGATGAAGACTGGAGGCCTGCAGCCACAAACAACACAGCATGGTGATGACAGAAGACATGGCCCGAGCTGCAAAGTCAGGCAGATCTAGATTGATTGCTGAGCCAGTCTGGCAACTAATTTGCCCTCATCCACCACTGCAGTGAATTCTTGTTTCCCCTTGTCAAGTAGCCTCTCTTTAAACTTTAAAATATTATCCCACAGGCTAAAATCATAATGACCCAGCAGAGCCGGCTGGTTCACAATTCTGAGCTGTAAACCACCTGTGGAATAAAGGTTACTTCCAAATAGGCCCAGCTTCTTTGCCTCTTTCCCTTTCGACATTGACACCTAGTGCTTCTGTCTCTCTCTCTATCATTAGCAGACAACTACCAAGGAGCCTGGAGGGAGATGGTTATCATAATGGTCAAACCCATGCAAGGGTACGTAGAATCTCCTCTGCACCTTTTTCACCTTATGGGGAAGGGAAGAGGGGGTCTATCAAAGCACCTGTGGTAAATGAGGGGGACGGTAGCTCCCTTTTATGGGCATCCAGCCTGTCAGTTAGCTATAAAAATCCTTCTCAGCAGCTGTTCTCTACTTGCCTTACCTGAAATGCTTAAGTAAGAGGAAGTGGGTGGGCACCTGTCCAAAAGAGCCAATGGGAGGGCTAGAATCTTTTAAAATTGAGAAAAAAAAACTTCCCCTTAGTCTGTGTTGTTGCTGTTCTCTCGTCTGCAGAGACAGGGCAGCAAATATGCTGTAAGGCTTGGGCCAGGTATGAAAATCATCAGCCTCATACCTAGAAACTGCTCATTTGGAATCACAGATATGTAAGCAGATCAGGAAATGTTTAGTTAGACGCAATCAGAACCCTAATAGGTAGAGCCTCCTCTGATTCCAACAAGAGCAGATCCTGAGAGGGAATTTCCTCTTATACACACACAGACAACCTGCAGGGACAGGGCACAATGTAGTTCTTCATAACAAAACATCCCTGTGGTGCTTTTCACCCAGATCAATGCCCAAGTGCTTTACAAGCTGTAGAGATGAGGATCACGTGGCCTGCACCCAGGTGAGGCACAGCTCTCAGAGTGGGAGGGGGAATTTGTGCCCTTCATGGGGATCCCCAGAGCCCACACGCCTTGAGGGACCAGGTGCCCCAGGAGTGAGGCTGCCCATGGGGAAGCATTGTCTGCCCCAGCACCTCCTGCTGGCTCTCTCCAGGCCCTCACTGGTGCCATTGGTTAAACTCAGACAAAGCTCCTGGCATTCTCCAAGGCCTGGCTAGAGACATGGGAGCTCAACACCATGGGAGCCACAATGCTGTTGCCCCCACATAGCTCCCCAACATGGAGGATAATGTGGAGGAAGAGAGAGGAGGGGATAAGGCAGTGGCATCTGTGATTTGGTGTCCTGTCCTCCAGCTCGCCCGGTGCCTTAGCTGACCTTCCTCAAGAACGTAGCTTGGGCCTTGGAGGGATTAGACACGGGGTCCTGGTGCTTCATGGGGCGTAGAGAGAGCAAGTGAAAAAGAGCACAGTTCCTCCCCCCCCCCCCAGACTGGATCCCCCGATAGCCCAGTGCGAGGGACTCCTGCTTGGCTCTGAGTGGGACAGTGGGGAACAGGGCCTTGGTGTGGAGGGGGACACTAGAGGGCACTGTCCCATAGACCCTATGTTCTGGGATCCCACCCCCTTTGTCATGGATTAACCCATGAACACTGTTACAAGATACGCGTCCTTGGGGAGCTGGGATTAGAACTGGCCCGTCTAGCCTGAGCTCCCACCTGCTGCCTGCCACAACAGATCAGACTCATGGGCCCCAACTAGCCCAGGATCTGCTCCCCACCGAGCCAGATCAGAACAATGGGCCCATCCAGCCCTTATTCTCCCACCACACACACACACTTACTTTTAACCTGTGGCTGAAATGCAGCCACTTCTGGGATGGGACGTGGCAGCTGACAAACAGCGACACTGCCAAAAGGAATTTGGGACAGAGAGTGAAAGCCAATCATGAATCGACTGGACTTGGAGGTTGAGCACAACCCTCATTACTTCTGTGGAACTGTAGTTGGGAATGAAGAGCAAATACAGTGGCCCCAGCAGTATAGTGAGGGAAGAAGCAGTTAGTGCCTGGCAAACGGGTATAAAGCTACAGCACACTAGCCTGCAATTCTCTAATGTAGAGGTTCCCAAACTTTTTTTGTTTTGCTGAGCCCTCCTCTGGAGATTCATGTTGCATTCATGCCCCCCTTTTTCTAAGGGGGCAGGGGTGCCCTGTACCCACGAGGGGTGTCTGGTACCTGCCAGGGGCGGATACTCACCATGTGGCAGTTGAGGAAGCCTTCTGCTTCATGCAGTGGCAGGGTGGTCTCTGCTGTTTGGACCCAGCTCCCTGCCTGTCCCCCGTCCCCACCCACCCCTGTGCGCATGGGAAACAAACAGGGCTGAGCTGAAAGGCCAGGGTTAGGAGGGGAGCTGACAGCTGCGGAACAGAGTTCCCTGCTGTCCCTGGCCCTTGAGCGCAGCCCCATCTGTTTGCCCTGCGCAGGCTCTTTCCAATAGAGGGCAGGGCTCTGTGCCCTGGAGCTGTGGTGAAGGGCCGGGGTCGGCAAGAGGCTCTGGTGGCAGGAGAGTCACTAGTCCTGTGTGCCACTTGCAGAGTCCCTGGTGGCCTCCCCAATAGGGGTGGTGGCTGCTGCAACTGCTAGGGCAGGGCCAAGGCCTGCCCCTCTGCCCCTCCTCCCTTGCGTTTCCAGGGTAGGGAAAGGCCCATGCAAAGGTCTCTGGAGGCAGAGCCAGTGTGGGGCGCTGGGGCTGCTGAAGCAGAAATCAGTGTGGCTGTGGCAGATGTTGACACTGACCCACAGGCTGGGTGGCCGCTCAGGTGAGTCAGGGGATGGAGGTGGCGCTGCCTCCTTGTCCCCTCCGAGGGCTGGCTTGGGCCTGCCATGTGGGGCTGGCACAAGCCACCTGGCATTGCCACTCACCCCTAAATATTCCTCCACACCCCACCAAGGCGCCCCACAGTTTGAAAACCTGAAGAGACTTTTTTTTAAATTACTGATTTTAGTGCTCCACAGACCAGTGGGGGGTAGGGGGGTCACACAGAGCCAGAGCTCCACCTCCTCCCTGCCCTTTAAAAACTATGCCAGGATGAACTGTGCCCATCTTCCACACACACACACACACACCGCCCATGCAACCTGCAGGGACAGGGCATAATCGAGTTCTTCATAACAAAACATCCCTATGGTGCCTTTCACCCAGAGCAATCCCCAAGTGCTTTACAAGCTGAACAGATGAGGATCACCTGCCCTGCACTGAAATGCAGCTGCCTCTAGGGAGGAACATGCAAAGCATTTACCATCACTACACAAACTTTGAGCAAGATATGAAGGCAGCAGTTTTTGGCAGCTGGGAACGAGGATGGGACTCTGGATTGCGTCACTCGCTGGATCAGAAGGGCACAGAGCAGTGGTGTCGAACCTACAGCCTGAGAGCTGGATTTGACCCCCAGATCCCTTCCTTCTGGCCACTGCTCCCTCTGCCATCTTTGCAGGGATCCAGTCTGCAGCTGAAGCCGGCCCGAGGGTGTCAGAACCAGAGTGGGAGGAGTTGAGGGTGGAGCTCAGGCCTGATTGGGCTCAGGCACTGGAGCCCCTCCTCCTTCTGCTGCTGCCGCCCAATCAGCTCTGCCAACAGCCAAGGGCTCAGCAGAGTGGCTGCTTCCCCTTTGGACCCACTGCAGGTCTGGGCTCTCTCTCTCTGCTCCCACCCCCTTCTGCTTGACCTGACACGGGCAGCTCTGCGGATCTATGCTGTCACCGATTCATCCTGCCCCCCATCGCCATAGCCTCTGGACACCTTCCCTGTAACATCAGTAGCAGCAGAGAAGTGCTCACTGGACTTCAGGGAGTCTTGGGCACTTTTCAGAGGCACTGCTATGGCCAGTGAAGGGTTACGGCTGCTGGCGATTTATAGCCCACCTGCAGCTCCCGCCCTGGCACTACCCAGCTGCTTTAACATCGGTGTGCAGGGCTGCCCAGAGGATTCAGGGGGCCTGGGGTCTTTGGCGGCCCGGCACTTCAGCGGCGGGTCCCAGGGCGGAAGAACCCCCCCCGCCACCGAATTGCCGCCGAAGACCCAGTGCGTAAGAAGCTCCGGGTCTTCGGCAGCGGGCCTTCACTCGCTCCAGGGGCCCGGGCCCTGCAAGAGTTTTCCGGGGCCCCCGGAGCGAGTGAAGGACCCCGCTCCAGGGGCCCCGGAAAACTCTCGTGGGGGCAAATTGCCCCACTTGCACCCCCCTCTGGGCGGCCCTGTCTGTGTGCAGGCCCCTGTACCGTTGTGATGGCTGAGGGATAAAACCCAGAGAGCAGAGCTGGCGGCTCTGTCGGGAGGCGCTTGGGGTGCAGCCGCCTGGGGGTGCAGTGGGAAGTTATTTCCCGTATTTGATTTTACCCTCTGGCTCTTCAGTGAGGCTTTTGTTTGTTGCCTTCAGCACCAGCTAGGGCTGCTTCTGGAGCCACATACCACAGCCCCGCATCAGCTCACCTTCCATCCACAGTTCATTCTGTTCAGTTTTTCTCAACTGTTCATCATATCGCAGCTTGTCCCTATGAAGCATATCCAGGATTCTGTCAACCGAGGAGGCGCGTTGAATCAGCTGCTCCCGGTGCCGCTCCACAAAATGTTCCTCTGAGGGACATAAAAACACCCCACTGAAACACGGGGTTTGGGTGCCAGGCTCCTTCAGCTTCTACCTAGGGCCATTTAGCCAGAGCCCTGAGCTGGGGTTGGGGCAAAGCTGCCCTGCCCAGGGGGAGCTCCCGGGCAGTCTGTGCCTCGGGACAGGGCGGGGCGGGGGGCTGAATTCCTGGTCAGTTGGGGGCCAGGCTGCACTTCCTTAGGCCAGCCTCTGCAGGGAAATAAATGGGGGTGGGCAGAAGGGTCGATCACGAAGTATCAGGACTATCTAGCACTCACCCCCGCCCAACCCCTCCCACACTATACCCCTCCCCCACAACCCTAAACACACACACACACACACACACACACACACACACACTGCACAACCCCTCACACAGACTATACCCGGGGGGCAGACAGGAGCGAGCAGTGGGCAGGACTCGGGGGAAGAGGTGCAGCAGGGGCACGGAGAGGCAGAGCGAGGACGGGGCCTTAAGGGCAAGAGGTGGAGTGGGGGCGGGGCCTTGGGGCAGAGTAGGGGGTGGGGACACAGTCCGGGCACCGGTGGCCCCCCCAATTCTAGGGAGCTTCTGGCACTCCTGGGCATAATCTCCCCAGACGAAAGACTCACATGCCACCTATGGTCCTTTCTATAACAAAGGGAGGGACCGCAGGTGATGGATGGGCCTGTCTTGTGGGTTACAATTATCAGAAATGGATGGCGGGGGGACGGGACGGCAGGAATGGATGGGTCCACTGGAGCAAGGGAGTGAGAAAATGTGAGGGAGGGAGGAGGGATGTAACAGCGAAGGAAAAGAAGCACAGGGGGACAGAAAGACAACTCAGCAGTGGGGACAAGACTCTGATGGGGATGGGGTGGGGCAAAGACCCAATTGGCAGAGAGATCAGCAGCATGATGGTGCGGGGGACAGTGACTGGCTGGGAAGAAAAGGCAAACAACCAATCAGAGGAGAGGAAAGAACATCCAGGATTTGAATTGTAGCAGGCAGATTCTGCTGACATCTGGACATTGGGGAGAGCTGGCCTTGGGAGGGGGGAAATGGCTGGGGATGCAGGTGGGATGTGCATTTCTATCTCCAGAGTGGGGTGCCCAGCTAGGCCTCACCCCTTCCAGCCACTTACAGGACAGGAGGGGGAAACTGGGCCCTAGATGGGAATCCCCAGAAACCTTATAGATCAGGGACCGGATGCCCTAGGACTGAGGCTGTCCTTGGGGGAGCATGGTCTGTCCCAGCGCCCCCCACAGGCTCTCCCCAGCAATTCATCAGAGCCATTGGTTAAGCCCAGACAAAGTCCCGTCCAGTCCTCAAGACCTGGCTATAGAGGCAGGAGCTCACTGCCATGGGGGCAATGATGCTGCTGCCCCTGCATGGCCCCCAGTAAGCTGGGCCTATGCAGAGATGGAGAGAGGGGGGGATGGGCCATTGCAATTTCCCGTGTGGTGTCCAGCCCAGCAGCTCGCCTGGTGCTTTGGCTGCCCTCACTCGGGAGCATAGTGTGAGCCTTGGAGGCGTGAGACATGGGGCCCTGGTTCTTCCTGAAGCCCAGAGAGAGAGAGAGAGAGAGAGACACCCACAGCCCAGAGCCCCCCACGGGTGAATCTCCTCATAGCCCAGTGCGAGTGACAGCTGCTGAGCTCTGCACGGGGCAGTAGGGAAAAGGGATCCTGCCCCCTTTGTGATGGATTCACCCATGGACACAGTTAATAGATATACGGCCCTGGGGAGCTAGGATGAGAACTGGATCAGACCAATGGGCCCATCTAGCCTGGGACCCCACCTGCTACCTGCCACCCCAGATCGGACTCATGGGCCCATCTAGCCCAGTATCTGTTGTCCCCACCCACAAAATTGCTTTTAACCTAGTTCTGCAATGCAGCCACTTCTGGGATGGGACGTGACAGCTGACAAACAGCCACACAGCGACACTGCACAAAAACCAATCTGGGACAGGAAGTGAAAGTGAATCATGAATCGACTGCCGTGGAACAGCAGTTGGGAATAAAGAGCAAATACAGTGGCCCATTGGTACGGTGAGGGAACAAGGATCTTTGGCTGCAATGGGCCAACACACATGTTAAAGGGCTTGTCCAGATGGCCAGTTAGTGTGTGGCAAACCGGTGTAAACCGACAGCACACTAGCCTGCAACTCTCTAACGCAGAGGTTCCCAAACATTTTT